CACAGCTGTCCTTGAAAAAGAGCAGTTTGTGTCAGAGTTCTCTCAGCCCCGCCCACCTCACAGGGTATCTGTTGTGGGGAGGGGAAGGGAAAGGAGTTTGTAAGCCACTCTCAGACTCCAAGTGAAGGGCGGGGTATAAATCCAATCTCCTCCTCTTCTTCTTCTTCTTCTTCCTGTGCTGGCCAGAGTGGGGGCGGCATCAGGACCCCTGAACTTGACCTTGCTGGATCTCTCACATATACTGACCCTTTGTGGGGTAGGAGGAGCCTCAGAGGGAGAGAGGAAGGGCAGTTCCTCGCCAGTCCAAGTGAGTTTAATTTTTGTCAACACTTGGAGATGATCCTTCTCACCGCTGGCAACCAGACGGAAGTCTGCCCTAAGCTTTTATTTTATTTGTGGCATCTCTGATTCTGCTGCAAGGTTGCCGGACTACGGTTGTGGCTGTCAGTTAACAGGGGTCACATTTTTTAAACACTCCGCCCATTTTTGTAAAGTAAAAAGAGGACGAATACAAGAGTTTGAGATTCTTTTTTTGAAAAAAACCCGGCCTTTTATTTTGGACGCTGGCCTCTCGGAGAGTCCTTTCTCAAACCGAACAGCTGAACGATCTCTGTTGTGACAGAGGGGATAAGGGCGTTTCCAAGGAATTCAATAAGGGAAGTCTCATGTATTTCGAGACAGGTACAAATTAAAAAAAACCCCACTCAATAGGGGGCACACAGCATAATTAAAAAATGAACCCTGGCCGCAGGGACAGAGACAGATTCTGGCACACGGGCCTGCCAGGACACACGGGTGCCTCCCTCAGGTTCACCAAGGACTTATACTGTGAACCGGCAAAAGAGGAGGTGGTGGCGGTGATGGTTTCTCCTCAGCGCCTTCTCCTGTCAGGACTCCGGCTCCTCCTACGGCCGCCCCTGAAACGAAACGGAGGAGATTAAAAGCCCTGTTGAGTTCCTCTCAGAACACCCCCAGAATCAGTTCGCCGAGAGGCCTGGAGCAAGCCGCACACTGGGCTGCAGGCCCTCTTCTGGCCCAAGGAGATCACCCAATGGCAAGCCCCATGCACTGGAGAGCCAGTGTGGTGTAGTGGTTAGTGTGTCAGACCACGACCTGGGAGACACAGGCTCACTCCGCCATGGCAGCTTACTGGGTGACCTTGGGCCAGTCACACACTCTCAGCCTAATCTACCTCACAGGGTTGTTGTGAGGATAAAATGGGAGGCGAGGAGAAGGATGTAAGTTGCTTTGGGTCCTCACGGGGGAGAAACACGGGATATAAATGAAGTAAATAAATACCCATTGAGAGGGACAAACACTGTGTATAACCAGCAAAAACAAAGTTTGAACTTTTGTATCTTAGTAGGTTCATGGTTCGTTTTTGCAAATCAGGTAACTTGGAGACCAGTTAATACCCAGAGATGCCTCTTCAATGTCTTGAACAGACAGCCGGTAGCTTTTTCCTTCTACCTCGCAAAATATTCCCTACCATTTGGGAGATGGCACTCAAAAAGCTCACTCGTAACAGAAAGGCATGGCTTGTTTTATAGTCACAGTCAGGGGTCTTGTTGTAGAAAAAGAGCTGCCGGAGCTCATTAGCATAACTCATTAGCATAACTTATTTGCATATGCCACGCCCCCTGACATCACCGGAAGTGACAGAAGGCCACACCCCCTGACATCACCGGAAGTGTGTCAGAAGGCCCGGCTACTTACCCTCCTGCTTCATCCTCATTCCCAAACGGAATGAGGATCGAAGCAGAGGGCGGGGTAAAGAAGGGGGCGGGGCTTCACCACGTGACCGCCCCGCCCCCTAGAGGTTCTCTTCCGGAGCTCCGTACCTGAGAGCTCCCCCCCGACTAGAGCCCTGGTCACAGTTAGTCTGTGAGACCAGAATTTCGCTTGCACCGAATCCTGGTCTACCTTGACAAATGCTGGCTGTGTTGTCTTTGTTCTTCTCCTGCTTCCCCTGCAGAGACCTGGAGGGTACCCGTGCTGGCACTGTGGCAAGGACAGCAACAGGGAAAAAAGGGCCAGGATACGGCTGTTTGCACATCCTGTGAAACCATCACTGAGACTGTGGCTATCAAACCAAAATTCAAACCATGGTTTCAGATCCTAGTTTGATGTACCCTAACTAATCGTGGTTCACAGAGTGGCCCTCATTCGGACTACCACACTAACAATAGTTAGTTTAATTCAACTGTAGTGATGTCTGGACCAAGCCACACGGCGACAGCTCATTGAAAGCACCAGCTTCTTCTCGGCTATCAGAACAAGTTAAGAGAAGGGCGCGGTCACTCCCACGGCTGGGAAAAGCTCACCTGCGCTTTCCTTTCGGAGGCCCCCTGACAAAGCACCAGTCTACGCTGATGGGCTGCCCCATGAGGTCCTGCCCATTGAGACCCTCCATCGCCGCCTGGGCCTCTTTGTACGTCTCGTATTCCACTAGCGTATAACCCTGTGAGGGAAGAGGGAGACAAGGGATGAAGAACAAAAGCCAGTCTCCCGAGAATGCTTCCACACAGCTCATGTCAACACCCGGCATTTTCAGAGTTCGGTTATTTACTCTCCTTACTTCCCTGCTCCACAGCCAGGCACGAAATCGCCTTCCATGCCCTCTTGGAAGATAGCTGCTTTGTGATCAGAGAAGTGAGGGGAACTGGCAATCTAGCTGTAGCCAATGGCCGGGTGATGCAGGCGGGTTAAACCTCTGCTCACAAATGCACCCAAAAGAGAGCTCAAACTTGCCATACCTGGACTTAAACACCATTCAAAACCTCACCATCTTACTTCTGCACTGCAAGAAATGACTTCCCTTCAGGGTGGATAAAAATCAACGACTTTTTAAAAATAATAATTAAAAATCGGATTTTTATTTAAGTCTTTTTTAAGAAAATACTTTTTGAGGAAAAATCTATCTAAAGATAGTTTTCTATTTAAGATACATTATAGTCCAAAGGTTATTCATCATGAAATAAGGATTCGTTTTTAATTATGTCGAAAGAGGCTGTATAGTCAAACAGTGTTTAAATTTGTTGGTAAATTAATTCCATTAATCCATTCACAATTTTTCTATCTAGAAGATATTATTGCACATGTTTGGTTCTACAGTTCTCAAAACTGTGGATTTGTGTCTGTAGAGAGCACACACCTCTTCTTCACAGCAAAACTGCTTTAAAACAAACATACAGAGTTAAGACACCTCAGTCCTATTGGTACTCTGCGAATCTATGCATACAGAATCAATCCCTTATCTCTTAAGAGCTAAGTTGCAAGACGTTCAATTAATATAAGATTTGGGGTGGAATAGGTCTGGATAAGGAGGAGATGTTAAGAGCTAAGCTAAGGAGAGAGGGCAAGCAGTATAAATGTTCAAGTTCAAGTTAGCCTTTATTGGCATAAAATAACAGTACAAGTTATACAATTTTAGGAAACGGTATAAATGAAAGTGAAACATTTTGAGCCGAAATCTTGAGATCTTTGTGAGTGTATCCTCATGGATGTTTACGCAAATACAAGAATACATATGCTATATAACATTATTGTTTTAGTTAAATAAAACAATTTAAATGGCTATTGTTAATTATTATTTTTCCACATCCAGTAAAGTACAGAAAAGTTGTCCAAAAATGAATGATTAACCTATTAAACTGGAGACAGTTCACCTTGCAATTTTCATATCTATCTATTTCAAGTGGTAAATAACCGATCATTAATTCTCTGATATAACTAAAACTAACCTGAAAAGTTATTACACTAAAATGTACATCTGGGTTGTAAATATTAAGGCCAGCAAGAATGAGTCTTTAAAAACCATGATTTAAATCTAGTCTTACCGACTAGTGACTTAAATCGTGATTTAAATCGAGATTTAAATATTTTAAATCAAATCCACCTTGCTTGCCTCTTCTACATTTCCTTCCTTGTGCCCTCTTAGGTGTTTCCCTAAGAAGCTACTGCTCAGATCCTACTTCTTTCAGTTCCCAAGCAGAAGGTTAAACAATAAGAACTGCGGAGAAGTTATCATCCTCTGCTGACATACCTTGGGAGAAACATTAAGAATGACTCGGCCTTGCAGCTAGCTACTTGCCCAGGAAACTCACAGTTCCTTCTGCAGATGTTATCTTGGCAGACCAGCTTCCCAGCCTGCTATGTAGCACTCAGGTGAGGTCCATTATGTCTATTAGGCTTCCATGCAAAACTTGGGACAGGGTACACTATCCCCATTTGCTTACCGCAGCAAAGATCCCTCCTGTTTCTGGCTAGTGCGAGAACGACAAGCCCCCCTTCCTTAGACTGGATCTGGCAAGGAAGGCAGAGAGCTCCTCCCCACAAGTGTGCTGGAGTTGGGAGCTACTCCAAATATCTCTGAAGCTCAGTCCGTCTCTTCATCTTGTGAAGGTGACGGAGTTGGCAGCTTGCCTGAATTCTGGCCAGCTAGCATTCCTTTCCCACTGCACAAGCGGGAGAGTGAAAACAGATTGTCCACGTGGTAATTTCGGACAAATTCACGCCAATGGGCAGGAAACCCCTGCAATTAAACCAGCAGAGAACAGAGAACGCAAACAACTTACCGGAACCGAAGCCTCTGCCTTTCCTCTTTTTGGCTTTCTCCTTCAGCTTGTGAATGCTTTCTAGGACGAGAGAGAGGTGAGGAGAATAAACACAGCCGGGTCAACCAATCGACACAAACCACACTGGACAAGCAAGTTTTCTCATAAGCAATTCATATTCCCCCACCACTGGCCGCTAGCGCCACAAGCCCCTGGCTGCCTCCTGAGCCCAGAGCTAGGGAAGGAAGGAGCAGGGAAGCACCCTTGCAATCACCGAGTGCTTCAAAAGCCCAAACTCAGGGACAAGGAAGGAGTCTGGCAGCCACTGATTTTAGCTGGACACCAAAGGCAGCAAAGATTTATATACAGCACTGGTTGGACCGGGGCAGGGAGAGAAGCATGGGGAACTTGCCTCATTTGTAAAAGGAAATTGGGGGGGGGGGGGTTTCTGCAAGGACAGCTCTGTAGCCCAATCCCCAAATTGCATATCTGGTTATTTATCTTCCAGAGAAGGACAGAAATAGGAAGCAGGTCAGGCAGAGGAAAAAAGGAAAGGATGTCTGAGTTCTTCACAGGGGTGATAAACCTGAGCCTGGGCTCTACCACTTCTGAATGCAGTAGAGATTCACACAACACAACATTCCTATGTGAAAAAGTCCCTACATGTGGAAAACCAGCAAGTTGATGTGGATTCAAGTTCGGTTTTCACCTTAATATCCTAGTTTTCTATATGAAGAAAACTTTAGTTCACATGAAATTATATAAGATTCCCCAATCTGAAGCCACACAGTCAAGACGCGGGTTTTACCACCTCCAGCAGAACTGAGCTAGAGTCACTCAGTGGAAGCAGAGCAGCCTGATGTATTTAGATGAACGGGAAAGAGAGATAATAAGGAAAAATCTGAAAAGGAGAAGGCTCAAAAAACAGCTTCTTACAAACTTGTCTCTGACAAGGTGGCATCCAGCCCCCAAAGTCCAATGCCACACAAAAAGTCAGCCTGTAAAGGTGCCACAGATGTTCTCCATTCACCTACCACCGCAAACTAAGATATCCATCCTGTCCCTCAAATATGGAGGTCTGATGTATCATACTAGCAATCTCACCATCTGTATAGAAAGTTCAGGACATTATACATGGAGGTACTACCCCATTTTACTATTATTAGAAAGATGTAAGGCAGAAGTTTAGCTCAGTGAGACTAAGTAGACTGGGGAAAAGCCATCTAAGTGGCAGAATCACTGTTACTACTGTAACATACTTTACACATGACTGTCTAGAAAAATGGTCCGGAAACTGCAATCGGTACAGAACCAGGCCAGTGATCTGACTCAGTATAAGACTACACAACTAATTTGCCTCGCTGTCACCCAAATCTACTTAGTACATTTTATCCCACCATTCCTCCAAGAAACTTACAGACGTATAGTTGGTTCTCCATTGTATTCTCACAACAACCCTGTCAGGTAGGCTGAGAAAGAACCACTGGCCCTAGGCGACCCAACAAGCTTAAAGGAAGAGTACAGATCTGAAACCAGATCTCCAAAAGCCTACTGTAATGCCCTAAGCATTACAGCACACTGGTTCTCTACCTCACAGGAATGTTGTGATGGCAATATGAGATTTAGGATGTGTAACAGGAAAAGAGAGAGAGAGAAGAAGACTGGATTTATACCCTGCCCTTCACTACCCGAAGGAGTCTCAGAGAGGCTTACAATCTCCTTTCCCTTCCCCTCCCCACAACAGACACCCTGTGACATAGGTGGGGCTGAGAGAGCTCTTTCGAGGACTGCTCTTAGGAGAACAGCTCTGAGAGAACTTGTGACTGACCCAAGGACACACCAGCAGCTGCACGTGGAAGAGTGGGGAATCAAACCTGGTTCTCCCAGATTATAGAGTCAGTGCTCCTAAACATGAAACCAAACTGGCTCTCGTGATCTGAGAACCCCGTCGCCTCTGTGGGACGACCTCATTCAGCCTAAATAGTCACCAATACAGGCGGAGGCTTGACTGTTGTGTGGGGCAGGGAAAGGAACAGTGAGATTGAGGGTCATGAACACACCCATGGTTGCCAACTCCCAGGCGGGGCCTGTTGTTCTCCCAAAATCAGAATTAATCTTCAGACTACGCAGATCAGTTCCCCTGGAGTAAGTGGCTGTTTTGGAGAATGAATTCAAAGTCGCCTCTCCGCCAAATCCCCCTCCCTCCCCCAAACTCTGCTCTCCCCAGACGCCTACCCCCAAACCTCCAGGAATATCCCAAGCCAGAACCAGTAACTCTCACCCCCTTCCCAAAGTAAACCCCGCATCGTACCGTCACCATCCTCGTCCATAGCGAAGTCCTCCCCGCCCGCCTCATGTAGGTCCAGCACGTCCGCCATTTTGGTCCGGGAAACTTCCTAACCGAGAGACGACGGAGAATCGAAGACCCGCGGAGCAAGACGAGAACCGAAGCACGACGTGAAACGATGGCCGCCTCGCGCATGCGCGGTGGGATCACATGGGCGGGCAGGAAGCCGAGTCAGAGTAGAGGGCCTTCTGGGAAGAAGGGACGTGAGAGAGGCGCTGTGGTCGCCATCTTGGAAAGGTCTTTCCTTACCACACACCACCCTTTTCGAATAGGACAACAGTCATAGATTCATTCAGGTGGGTAGTCGTGTTGGCCTGAAGCAGCAGAACAAAGTTGGGTCCAGTGGCACCTTTAAGGCCAACAAAGTTTAATTCTGGGTATAAGCTTTCGTGTGTATCTGAAGAAGTGTGTGTGTGTGTGTAACCCATTACACGTGCACACGAAAGCTTAGATCCAGAATAAAACTTTGTTGGTCTTAAAAGGTGCCACTAGACTCAAAACTTTTTTTTTTGTACGATAATTTTTATTGGTTATTTTAATATAGATACAAACATCATTATCTTTGTAAACACAAGAGCTACAAAAAAGCCATAACAACACTTATAAGAATTAACAGGCGGATAATTTTTGAGTGATGCGAAGACAACAGTAGTCACTGACGTGATAAGAAACTAGACTCAAACTGTGAACAAAAGTAGACTCAAACGTCACAGTGTCTTTGTGGACCCCGCACCACCAATAGAGGCTTCGCCATTGAGAGGTCCAGGGATAAAGCGAAACCACTCACACTCCCTCTCCCCAGTTAGTCATAGCTAGAGCGGCTCTCAATGTTTACCGAAGTTTATTCTATGTCAACTTTTCCGTACTTCTATGGGAGCACCCCTAACATGTTTCGTTATTGGCTGCTTCCACATTTGTTCAGCGGGAGGGAGGGAGGGAGGGAGAGGCGACTGCTCCATCGGCATGGATATTTGCTGTAAGCTTTGCGTGGAGTGCAGCACGTCTAGATGCCAGTCAGTAATACTTGATGGAATTTCATGGGGGTTTTAATGGCAAAATCGGACTACAGAGAAAGTAGAAATTAACTCAGCCACAGCCCATTTTAACTATATAGAACCTGTTATATTGTTCTAAAACTCCATCTTCACTTACGTGAAGTCTACCGGGACGTACTAAAACTAAGGACAGCGATTGCCCATAGGGAATACATGAGTGCCCACAGAGAATAATGGAGAGTAGGCTTGCCCAGAAGGGATAGTGCAGTACATAATTGCCAATAGAGAATCAAAATTGACAATGGGGGGGGGACGTTTCCTCGCCTCCCTGAGCCCCGGGGTGGTGGCCTTGGGGCAAATTCCACCTCTCGCGTGTGATGTCCGAGCGGCAAAACGTATGGCTGCTGCTGCTGCTGACATCATACGCAAGAGGTGGAATTTGCCCCTAGGAGTCCAAGGCCACCACCCCGGGGCTCAGGGAGGCAGAGAAACGTTTTGCCCCCACCCTCTGCGGCCGTTGCAGCTGCCGCCAACAACGGCGCTGGCCATAATTTAAAGAGCCCCTAACAAGAGCTGGGGGAGCCAGAATGACCTCTCAGGTGTGATGTGCGAGCAGCCATAATGACCTCTCGCGTGACGTGATGTGGGAGGAGCCAGAATGACCTTTTGTGTGACATCACATGTGAGAGGTGGAATTTGCCCCTACGAGTCCAAGGCCACCACCCCGGGGCTCAGGGAGGTGGGGAAACGTTTCACCCCCACCCACTGTGGCCGTTGCAGCTGCCGCCGACAGCGGCAGCGGCCATAACTTTTTAAAGAGCCCCTAACAAGAGCTGGGGGAGCCAGAATTACCTCTCGCATGACATCACACGCAAGAGGTGGAATTTGCCCCTAAGAGTCCAAGGCCACCCCCCGGGGGCTCAGGGAGGTGGGAAACGTTTCGCCCCCACCCACCATGGCCGTTGCAGCTGTTGCCAACAATGGCAGCGGCCATAACTTTTAAAAGAGCCCCTAACAAGAGCTGGGGGAGCCAGAATTATCTCTCGGGTGTGGCTCTTTAAAACGTTATGGCTGCCGCTGTTGTTGGCGGCAGCTGCAACGGCTGCAGGGGGGGGGACAGACATTTCCCAGCCTCCCTGAGCCCTGGGGTGGTGGCCTTGGACTCGTAGGGGCAAATTCCAAAAGAGAGAGGGAGTGTGTGTGTGTGTTGCCACTCGGACATCACACGCGAGGTCATTCTGGCTCCCCCAGCTCTCCTTAGGGGCTCTTTAAAAAGTTATGGCCGCCGCTGCTGTTGGCAGCAGCTGCAATGGCTGCGGGAGGGGGGGGGGCGAAACATTCCAAGTCTACCACACCTTTTCTGGCACTCACCAATTTTAGAAGAGGATGGGCCACTTAGGCCTCTTGCCCCGCAGGGCTTCTGATTGGCTGTGGAGACTAAAATAATCAGTGGCTGCTTGACCAGTGTTCGTTTTATTCTTGCTCACTTTTCTTTCCCAATGTATTTTTTAATATTATCCCTTTTCTGCCCTGTTGTCCTTGGGCTTTCTCTGTGGGTGCAGCTCTGCCTCTTTCAGCAAACATTATGCAGTTGCGCCAGTCGCCCTGTGTCATGAGAACCTAAGAGAAGCCAGTGTTGGATCAGGCCAGTGGCTCAACACTCTGTGTCACACAGTGGCCAAAGATACCAGGTGCCATCAGGAGGTCCAGCAGTGGGGCCAGGACACTAGAAGCCCTCCTACTGTTGCCCCCTCCCCACAAGCACCAAGAATACAGAGCATCACTTGCCCCAGCCTGAGAGTTCCTATCTATAAAGGTAAAGGTTCCCTTGCTCGAAAGCCAGTCGAATCCGACTCTAGGGTTGCGGTGCTCAGCTCCGTCTCAAAGCCGAAGAGCCAGCACTGTCCGAAGACGTTTCCGTGGTCATGTGGCCGGCATGACCTACTGACCTTCCACAGCCTGCAGTTCAGCGTCTTATTGTGGCTAATAGCCGCTGATGGACTTCTGCTCCATATGTTTATCTAGGGTTGCCAGGTCTGGTTTGGAAAACACCTGGAGACTTTGGGGGTGGATCCGGGAGAGGGTGGAGTTTTGGGAGGGGAGAGGCCCCAGCATGGTACAGTGACATAGAGTCCACCCTTCAAAGCAGCCATTTTCTTCAGGGGAGCTGATCTCTGCCAGATGGAGATGAGCTGTAAAAGCAGGAGATCCCCAGGCCCCACCTGGAGGCTGGCAACCCTATGTTTATCCAATTCCTTCTTGAAGCCGTCCATGCTTGTAGCTGCGGCCACCTCCTATGGCAGTGAATTTCGTGTGTTAGTCACTCTTTGGGTGAAGAAGTACTTCCTTTTATCCGTTCTAACCCGACCGCTCAGCAATTTCATGGAGTGCCCACGAGTTCTTGTCAGAATTCCAAAGGTGCCCATAGGCTCAAAAAGGCTGGGTGCCCATATACTAAAGCTGGGTTCCCCAGCATGGCGCCCGTGGGCACCATGGTACCTTTTCTGGCACCAACCAAGTGTTTCTAGGAAGCTTTTGCCTATTGACTATGGGAGATTTGATTGGCTGTGTGAAGGGTGTGTTTTTTTTAAAAAAATGTTGCTTTGGCAGCAGCTGCTGCCATTTCACAAGGATCTGTACTTGTGGCTGAAGTTCGCATAGGAGTGGCAGGAGGAGGATTTTCTTCGTTAGGCTATTTTTAATGTGGATCTAGGCTGAAGATTTCCTAAAAGAAATCAACCCTGACTGTTCCCTGGAAGGCCAGATAATGAAACTGAAGCTCAAATACTTTGGCCACCCAATGAGAAGGGAGCACTCCCTGGAGAAGACCCTGATGCTGGGAAAGATTGAAGGTCAAAGAAGACGCGGACGGCAAAGGATGAGATGGTTAGACAGTGTCATAGATGCAACGAACATGAAACTGAGCCAACTTCAGAGGACGGCAGAAGACAGGAAGGCCTGGCATGATCTGGTGCATGGGGTCGCGAAGAGTCAGACTCGACTGTGCGACTGAACAACAACAAAGGCTGAAGAGTCAGACTCGACTGCGTGACTGAATAATAACAACAAAAACAAAAGAGGAGACAACCTAGCAGAGCTGGCCCTCGCTGGTATTTGGATGGGAGGCCACCAAGGAAGTCCAGGGTTGCTCTGCAGAAGAAGGCAATGGCAAACCATGCACAACATTCATTGTATTTATTTATTTCATTTTATTACTTCCCAAACACAAAGCATTGGAGGAAGGCCCAGTTCAGTCCCCAGAGCTGTATACGGACGAGCCCGTTGCATTGAGGCGGTCACCGTAGATATCCAGGAGCTCAAAGATCACACCGTTGGTCCACCCAAAGCCTTGCTGTAAGGAGAGACCAGAAACATCAGAACAGGCACCCTGTCCCCCCCCCTCCCCTTCAGAGGGAGGAACGCTTCTGGAGACCCAGCTTTGGGGCCCATAAGAAGAAGAAGAAGAGAAGAAGAAGAGATTGGATTTATACCCCGCCCTTCACTACCCAAAGGAGTCTCAGAGCGGCTTACAAACTCCTTTCCCTTCCCCTCCCCACAACAGACACCCTGTAGGTGGGGCTGAGAGAGCTCTTGACAGAGACTGCTCTTTTTTCAGGAACAGCTGTTATCAGAACTATGGCTTGCCCAAGGTCATCCAGCCAGGTGCGAGTGGAGGTGTGGGGGAATCAAACCCGTTTCTCCCAGATTAGAGTCTGCACACTTAACCACTCTACACCAAACTGCCTTCCCATCTCTCAACCCAGCATTGGGAGAGCAGCTCCTAGGATTCCCAGCTCTGGGAAATACCTGGAGATTTGGGGGGTGGAAACTGACGAGGGCAGAGGGTGGGAACGAGGGACCTTAGCAGGGTATAATGCTATAGAGCAGTGATGGTGAACCTTTTAGAGACCGTGCCCAAACTGCGATCCAAAACCCACTTATTTATCGCAAAGTGCCAACACGGCAATTTAACCTGAATACTGAGGTTTTACTTTAGGAAAAAAAACAACTCCTACATTAACTTAAGATGATCCAAACAAAGTAAGGAAAGCAATCCCAAATGCTTTCATTTACTTAAAATTATTTGGCAGAGAATTCGACACTTTAATGATGGTCTGGGCCTGGCTGGGGCGATGGCACACGTGCCCACAGAGAGGGCTCTGAGTGCCACCTCTGGTTCGCCACCACTGCGATAGAGTCCACCTTCCAAAGGTGCTGTTTTCGTCAAGTGAACTATTGCCTGGAGATCAGTTGTAATCCTTTGAGATCTCCAGCCATCAACTGGTAGTTGGCAACCCCAGCAGCTCCCGGCCATGTTTTATTTTGGGCAGAGACAACACCCTCACCTGTACTTCATACTCGCCGCCAGAGCCTGGTCTCCCATCTCCTTCTACATTATACTACAGAAAGAGAGAAGGAGTTAGTAGTAGGAGAGAGTTTTTGGCATCGGAGAAAGTGTTGCTATGAAGAGGGCTTTTGCCCATGCAAAACATTCATTTTATTTATTTTATTTTATTTTATTTTATTGAACATGTATCCCGCCATCCCTGCAAGCAGGCTCAGGGAGGGGTCCATCAATGTTCAGACAATATACACTAACAATTAAAACCAATGTAAAGCAACAAGATTAAAACAATGCAGTAATCATAAAATCATAAAATACCGTGCATAAAATACCAATGACTCAGTAGCCAAAATAAAATGATAGTGTAGTTCCCAGGTGGCTGTTCAAATCCAGGACACTGATGGGAGGCCAATGGGGGGGGGGGAGGAACACCCACTGCCTCAACTAAAATCCCTGCGGAAGAACTCCGTCTTGCAGGCCCTGAGGAATTGTAATAGATCCCACAGGGCCCTGATCTCATATGGGAGCTTATTCCACCAGGTAGGCAAGTCAGGTGTCCCTGGAGGCAGGCCAGGGACTACCAAAAGGTGTTGATTTGTAGATCTCAGCGCTCTACGGGGCTCATATGAGGAGAGGCAGTCCCGAAGGTATATATTTATTTATAGTCCGCCTCTCTCACTGGGACTCAAGGCGGATTACGCAGAGGGAGTCCATAAAATCAACAGGATGGGACATTCAATTTGGGTTGTAGAACCAACTGAAAATATAAAAACAAGAACTGAAGCAAAGAAAATTGTTAGCATGACACCTTAAACGAAGCAAAAGTATATAGTAGGGTCCTAATTGCAACAAACTATGTACAGGAGTGTAGCCCACAGTCCCTAATAATTTATCCTAGTGACTCTGTGAATCATTTTGTACAGTGCTACCCTATGATCTCTGTAGAAAAGCCCTCTTGAATAGTCAAGTTTCACACTGTTTGCAGAACATGGGAGTGTGGCACAAGAACCCCACACGTAGGAGGCAACTGTTCTTCCTTCTTCTCCCACTTTCTCCAAAACAGCTTTCTCAGAAGTCAAATAGTCTTCCTTGACTTTATTTATTTTATTAGAAATGGGGGTTTAAATCCTAACCCTTCTAAGGAGAGGAAAAAAATGACAGGCCAAGGTCCGTCCCCGTCCCCCCCGCGAGGTTCATGAATGGATCAGGATTTGAACCCACGCTGGGGCCGATTGGAAAACATTGGGAGGTTCCAAACTAAGCATCTTCCTGTAATGGAGGCAACAGCTTCCAAACAGGTGCTCCCTGAGGACAAAAAGATGATCCTTCCTGGATTTTCTGTTCCAATGAGATAGAGGAAAGTGAGGATTCACCCTGTATATTGGGGAAGGAGGAAGTGGGCACCAGGAAATGCCTTGGTGGGCCCCATGTTGGGGACCATGGATATGGGTGAAAGGACAATGGGGGCGGGGGGAAGGTCTGGAGGCAAGTGTTGGGAGTGAAGGTGACTCAGCATGCCTGGACACAGGGCGGAGGAGGGCGTTGCATTTCTCTCTGCACTGGAACCAGATTGCTTGTGTGTCATCTTCTTACTGAATAGGATGCCTCTCCATGTCCAAGCTGGGAGTGCCTCTGACAACCTGAGAGTTAACCAAGACTGATGAAAGTATCCAAGTGTGTCCAAATAGTTTTCCTGATCCAGCTGGGAAGCCTTGCCTTGGACTGAAGGGGAAAGGTCAAAATCTCTCTTCCGCCTTCACAGCCATCCGGTATTCTGGGAGTGCTATCTGTATCCATGGAGAGTAACAAACTGTGGTTTGTTGCTATTCTATTTCTTCTCTGAGTTGTACTTTTATGGTCTGCCCTATTGAACCCCAAAACACACACACACACCAGTGTTCCCTCGAAGCTGTGGAGTCTTGTGAGCAAAAATTCTACTCTGTGAGCTCCTGGCATGAAAGTTGTGAGTGAGCGATTTGGCTGCTGCATAAATTAGTTTGCTCTGGAGCCCATCCTTCCTGAGCTAAGACAAAAATGTGAGAGCCGGAGGCTAAAAAACTGAGGTAGCTCACACTAACTCAGCTTAGGGGGAACACTAACACACACACACACACACACACACGGGATTCCAGCCTCCAGGTGGGACCTGGGGATCTCCTAGGGTTGCCAGGTCTACCATGGCCACTGGTAGGGGATGGATTGGTAGGGTTGTGCCAGATCCAGGTTGGGAGACTCCTGGAGATTTGGCGCTAGATCCTGGGGAGGACAGGAACCTCAGTGGGGTACAATGCCACAGAGTCCACCCTGGGGAACTAATCTCTGTCGTCTGAAAATGAGTTGTAATGCAAGGGGATCTGCAAGTCCCACCTGGAGGCTGGCATCCCTGGGATCTCCTGGAATTTCAGCACATCTCCAGACGACAGAAATCAGTTCCCCTGGAGAAAATGGATGCTTTGGAGGGTGGACTCTATGGCATTGCACCCCACTGTGGTCCCTGCCCTCCCCGTGCTCTACACCTAAATCTCTAGGAGTTTCCCAACCTGGAGCTAGTAATCCAATCCCCTCCTCCCCAATGGTGGCCCCTGACAACCCTAACACAATCTCTCTTACACAGAGCAGGTTTCAAGGGCTGGAAGGAAGTTCAGCCGTGTGGGATATGGAGACCCTTACCTTTTCAAACATGGCATGGTACTTCTCGTAAACAACCAGGTTTGTTCTCACCCAGTTCTGCGCCAAGGTAAAAGCCAGGTTGCGGGCCCGGGGAGACGAGGACTTGGCTAGACCTACCAAGTGTGAAGAAGGGGTGTCAGTGAGAATTCCAGCCATAAATAGGAAGGGAAAACACATCGTCCCTGTTAGATTCTCTGGTATGGTATAGCCACGAATCTCTCTCATGTAGCAGAGTACACTAAAGGCTTCACAGAAGGGCAGCTTAGTACTGCGTGTGTGCTAGCAGAGATACAAAGTTACACTGAGCCAACTCGCAGTTTCAAACTAATGAGAGTCCTTTATTCAAGGAACTACATTCTAGATAGTATAGATTAAGGATAGGGTTAGAGTCTAATCTAACTAGCTAGGATGAATGCAGATGCAGGATGCCCGTCCTGCATCCATGGATGACAAAGATGGAGACCGTGCTTCTTCGTTGTGCGTGCAGGAGAGAGAAGTGTCAAGCTGGAAGGAAAGAAGTCTTGTCCCTAAGAATAGCATTCTACTTCAAAGGATAGTATCAGATAGCAGGAAGGAATGGATGCTCTGTGTGTGTCCTGACCTCTCTATCTGTCCCTAAATCTATGGTGCTCTCTCTGAAGGCTGAGGCAGGGGTCAGCATACACTCCTCCCCTTCTGACACTCCCCAAGTGGGGAGCCTCTACAACATGGGAAATACACCTTTGGAATTCCAACACAGTGTGGTGAGCATGCCCACAAAATGGCTGCTGTATAGGGTTGCCTTTTCCTTGGTGGAGCCAGGGGATCCCGATTTCGGGGCCCCCAATCTGCTGCAGCCCAGCTGGCTGGTGGGAGAAACCCCACCACAAGAAGCCGCCTCCCTGCACCAGTGCAATGATGTCACCCCAAAGTGACATCATCATGTTTCCGACATCAGGGGTGACACTCTAGGTTTGGGGCAAAACTCTATGGTTTTGAGGCCCAAAAAACCCATACAGTTTTACCCCACACCTAGAGCATCACCCCCAACATCAGAAACGTGATGATGTCACTCTGAGGTGATGGTATTGTGGTGTGCACGCAAGAAGAGCTACAGGAACAATCTGGAGTCTCCCCCACCGGCAGCCAGGTAGGCCCTGGTACCTACTGCTGCAGGAGGCAGAGCCAGATAAAAGTGAAGATCCTTGAGCTGTGGTGGGAGCTGCACCCAGAGGAACATTTTTAGAAAATCTGCACAGCCAATCAAATATCCAGTGGCCAATCAGAAACTTTACTGGGCAGAATCCCTACCCGGTCCCACCCACTTTCTAAAAACATGTGAGGGGTGCCAGGAAGGATGTCAGCAGGCACTGTATTGCCCACGGGTGCCACACTGAGGATCCCTGATCTACAAGGATAAGGAAGAGCTGCAGCTCAGCTGTTGGGGACAAGGAGGGAAGGGAGGCTGTGCAGCCAGGGAAATCTCTCCCCACAACCCACCCTGGGTTCTATTTGCTGAGGGACATCTCCTACACATAGGAAGGCTTCCTTCCGAACTGGTTGTTTGTTGTTGTTCAGTCGCACAGTCGAGTCCGACTCTTCGCGACCCCATGGACCAGATCCCGCCAGGCCTTCTGGTCTTCCGCCGTCCTCTGAAGTTTGCCTCAACTTCATGTTCGTTGCATCTATGACACTGTCCAACCATCTCATCCTTTGCCGTCCCCGTCTTCTTTGACCTTCAGTCTTTCCCAACATGAGGGTCTTCTCCAGTGAGTGCTCCCTTCTCATTGGGTGGCCAAAGTATTTGAGCTTCAGTTTCATTATCTGGCCTTCCAGCGAACAGTCAGGGTTGATTTCCTTTAGGATTGACTGATTTGATCTCCTTGCAGTCCAAGGGACTGATACAAGACCAATTAAGGCAGAGATGTCAAACATACGGCCTGCAGGACTAACCCGGCCCGCCCAGGGCTCTAATCCGGCCCGCGTGGTAGAACATTCACACACACCCCACGACGCCCCCACCCCTGCATTAGACACCTACTTCACCAGCTTGTTCCTCAAGCACCAGCCACACAGATCTAGGTAAGGCTTTCACTAGGGTTGCCAGCTCTGGGTTGGGACTACTTTGTTGTTACTTTTCGAGCCGCTGGGTTGGCGGGAGCTGGGACTAGGGTCGGGGGCTCAACCCGACCGCGGTGGGGATTCGAACAGCCATTGAGGCTGTTCGCTACAGATGTTACCTGCAGGCGTCGTACTGCCTGCACCACCGCTCCCTGTAACAGCAGGAGATCTCCAGTTGCCACCTGGAGGCTGGCAACCCTAGTCGTCACGGACGGGGTACCTCTACTGGGCCATTTTGTGGCTTGTCCTTACCTGCAATCACCAAATACTGCAGGGGGGCCCAAGCGTTGGGAAGATCCCACTGTTCCCCTGTAGAAGCTAGCGATGTGGGTATCCCGTTGGTGTAGGACAGCGCAGAGCTCTTCTGTGGGCACACAAAGGGGCATGAAACACAGAGACCGTTAAGAGGGACAGCAAAAAAGGGGGCACAGAAGGAGAAGGATTCATGGTCTAATGGGGGGGGGGACTGGTGTAAGCACGGTCAGCATTCCAGGCGGCACCCACACTGTGCAATGCCTGGAGGTCGAGTGAGTCAGCGAAAAAGGCCCGGTGTCGCAGGTGAGGATTGCTTACCTCCAGGTAGAGGAGGGCCCTTTCGGCAGCAGCTGGTTCCACACTACACTCTGCCCACAGAGGGGTGAGGTTGGATGGGTAGAAGGCCTCACTGTGCCTCCGCCGCGCAAGGTTGTAGTCCAGCCAGACCCCCGCCTTCTCGTTCCACAGGACAGCCTGGACTGCAGCCGCTCGGTACTCGTGGGCCGCCTGGAACCGGTTGGCTTTCTCGTTGTTTCCTTGAGAGGAGACATGATTATTTGATGGAGCTCCTAAGCCTCTTAGACCGGGGGGCTACTAACCTTTCCCTGTTTGAAAGCAACTTCTGAGTAATGAAAAAATATTTATTTATTATTTCAATTATTATTTATTTCGATTCCTGTGAAGGAGCTCAGGGCGGCTTACAGCAATAAACATTTATAAAATAATACAATCAGATAATACAATAAAGCCAATTTAAAACATTTAAAATGGGCAGTGCAGTACGTATCTGGAGTTACTCCCCCCGACCCCCAGGAAGGGGCATGTTACTAAGTTTTATTCTGTCTTAAAAACAGAACATGGACTAGGAAGAGCTCCAGAGATGAACCTGTCACATGAACACATGAAGCTGCTTTCTACTGAATCAGACTATCAGTCCAGCAGGTCAGTATTGGCTACTCAGACTGGCAGCAGCTCTCCAGGGTCTCAGGCAAAAGTCTTTTGTATCTCCTACCACCTGAATTTTTTAGGTGGAGACACTGGGGATTGAACCTGGGACCTTCTGCGTGCCAAGCAGATGCTACCACTTCATCAGCTAAGCAGCCCAGAAGACAAAATAAATAAAAGCCTAGAGCAGATCTTTTTGTGCTCCTTTTTCTGGGTCTTTTAAGGGATGCACAAGCTTATCGATGGACGCTGAACAAGCTACCAGTAGCTCACAAACTACCTGTTGAAGACCCCTGGCTCTAGGCATTCTCGGGGGAAAGGATACAACAGATCCTATCTGTAGGTTCCCAGGGACTATTTCCAAAGATGATTCTCCGGATGTGACGGTTCTTAGCTTGGCTTGTTACCCCAGCTTCAGATAGGCCTAGGGATGCCAGCCTCCAGGTGGGACCTGGGGATCCCTCGGAATTACGGCTCATTTCCAGACTACAGAGATCAGTCCCCATGAAGAAAATGGATGCTTTGGAGGGTGGACTCTATGGCATTGCACCACCACACACAAACTCCTCACCCAGAGCTTTATAAAAGGAGGCCAGCAACTGCTCGACTCTGCAAAGGATGGCATTCAGATCAACAGGTACCACCGCGCTGGTCTGGGTGTCTTTCCGTGTGGCCGGCAGGGGAGGCGGCCCCGGCAGGAACCAGCGTGATGAGAAATCCCAGCCAGACTCTGCTGCACCTTTCAGCTCTGCCCAAAGATTCTGCTGGGCTTCTGCACGAAAAAGTCGGGAAGGGGGAGAAAGTTGAAGGTTGGTAAGGCACGGAAAACCTCCAGCATCCCCAGGTGGAGCCCAGATTTTAGCTCCAGTTCTGTCCTCCCTGGCAAAGAAATGTAAATAGTCCTCACCCATGCCAAGGTATGGCAAATGGCTAGCTAATGAACAGCAAATCACTCGGCACTTGTTGGGGGGGAGGATGATTATAGGGTTGCCAGCCTCCAGGTAGTAGCTGGAGATCTCCCAGAATTCCAACTGGTCTCCGTCTGACAGAGATCAGTTCCCCCCAGAGAAAATGGCTGCATTAAAGTCTGAACTCCGTGGCATTATCTACCCTGCTGAAGCCCCTCCCCTCCCCAAACCCCGCCCTCCCCAGGCTCCACCCCCCAAAGAAATCTTCAGGGATTTCTCAACCCAGAGCTGGCAACCCCCTAGGAATTGGGTACTTTTGAGTTTAGACTAAAGGGATTATGCCCGGTGGGGACAGACAGAACTTTTTCTCCGCTTCCCATATTACTACTAAACCTCCCGCTTCCGCAGTAAGAAAGATATTTTATTTATTTATCCTATTTATGTGATGCTTTTCTCCTGGAACACAAGGACCCCAAGCAGCTTACCCTCTCCAAAGTCAGAAACAATATAAGATAATCACTCAAAATGCTGCATCAAGACATTCATTGCTCACTGCCCTATTATTAAAGGTAAAGGTTTCCCCTTGCTTGAAAGCTCGTCGAATGCGACTCTAGGGGGCGGTGCTCATTTCCGTTTCCAAGCCGAAGAGCCAGCGCTGTCCAAAGACGTTTCTGTGGTCCTGTGGCCGGCATGACTGGATGCCAAGGCACACACAACGCTGTTAGCTTCCCACCGAAGCAGTACCTATTTATCTACTCGCAGTTTCTTGCTTTCGAACTGCTAGGTTGGCAGGAGCTGGGGCCAGAGACGGGAGCTCACTCCGTCACATGGCACTAGGGTCTTAACCACAGCCCCTTGCCCTATTATTACAGACCTCAAAACTGGGGGGAAATACTATAGCAGCAAAAGACACCTAAAGAGACAAAAATGAGAAAAGCTGTCAGTCTGCTAGTCAAGATCATAGAATCATAAGAGTTGGAAGAGACCTCCAGGGTCAGCTAGTCTAACCCTCTGCACAATGCAGGAAGGCGGTGGCAAATCAGTTGCAGGGCTTTTTGGATGACGCCTCCATATTAGACCCCTTCCGGTCTGGCTTCTGACCAGGCCACGGGACAGAGACGGTCTTGGTCGCTTTCACAGATGATCTCCGGAGGCATCTGGATCGAGGCAGTATGGCGGTGTTGATGTTGTTAGACCTGTCAGCGGCGTTTGACACGGTCAACCATCAACTACTGATACACTGCCTTGCCGACACCAGGATTCAGGGGCTTGCCTTGCAGTGGCTCTCCTCGTTTCTTCAGAGTCAGGGACAGAGGGTGGCAGTTGGGGAACAGCTATCCGGAAGGCACCCACTAATTTACGGAGTGCCCCAAGGAGCAGTGCTTTCCCCAGTGCTGTTTAACGTCTACATGCGCCCCTTTGTCCAGATTGCCCGGAGACATGGACTGGGCTCAGCACCAATATGCTGATGACACCGAGCTCTATCTGTTGTTGGACGGCCAGTCAGACTCTAGTGTGGAAGATCTGGACCTGGCGTTGAAAGCCGTGGCTGCTTGGTTTAGATTGAGTTGACTGAAATTGAATCCGACGAAGACGGAGGTCCTGTGCCTGAGTCGGAGCAGGCCTAGGTTAGGGATCCCTCTCCTGACCTTCAATGGGGCGCCGTTGGTGCCAGCGCCGGAGGTTAGGAGTTTGGGAGTGCTCCTTAACCATGGAGGCCCAGGTAGCAGCCACTGCGAAGACTGCCTTTTACCATCTACAGCTGATTAAGCAGTTGGTTCCCTTCCTTGAACACAATGACCTGGCGACAGTGATCCACACAACGGTCACCTTGAGATTGGATTACTGTAATGCTCTCTACAGGGGGATGCCCTTGTCCCAAATCCGGAAGCTGCAGCTGGTGCAGGATGCAGCAGCGAGGCTGTTGCTATGTCTTCCTGTGTGGAAACACATCCAGCCCGCCCTAAAAGCACTGCACTGGCTGCCTATAGCATACCGGATACGGTTCAAGGTTCTGGTTCTTACCTTTAAAGCGCTATATGGTCGGGGACCTACTTACCTAAGGGACTGCCTTTCCCCACATGTGCCCCAGAGACCCTTAAGATCTGGATTCCAAAATCACCTGGCCCTTCCAGGCCCGAAAGAGGCCAGGTTGGCTACAACGAGGGCCAGGGCCTTTTCAGTGGTGGCCCCACACTGGTGGAATGAGCTCCCGGACGACATCAGGGCCCTGCGGGACCTTCTGCAATTCCGCAGGGCCTGTAAGATGGAGCTCTTCTGCCAGGCTTGTCAAGTAGGGGCCGCCTTGACATCATGGCCCTGGCCCTAACATCGACATCTCCGCCAACCTGGCCGTAATGTCAACATCACCACCAGCCAGATGATGAACAGCCTGGCAGGAGCCTGGAGGCGGCCACTCAAACGATGACAGAATGACGCCATCTTGTACTGTGGTGATGTGTTTTGTATCGTAAATCTTAATTTGATATTATTTTATTATGTATATTGGAATTTTAATGTATTTACAAACATGCTGTTCGCTGCCCTGAGCCCGCTATGGCGGGGAGGTTTGGGATATAAATTTAAATATGTTGTTGTTGTTCAGTCGCACAGTCGATTCCGACTCTTCGCGACCCCATGGACGAGATCCCGCCAGGCCCTCCTGTCTTCTGCTGTCCTCTGAAGTTTGCTCAATTTCATGTTCATTGCATCTATGACACTGTCTAACCATCTCATCCTTTGCCATCCCCGTCTTCTTTGACCTTCAATCTTTCCCAGCATCAGGGTCTTCTCCAGTGAGTGAATTTAAATATATATATATTTAAATATAAATAAAACAAATTCACAACTACAGCCTCTCTGCTAGCAGCCCCTCTGTTCCTAGTTCATGGTGGTGGGTCTTTATACCCTCAGGGTACCTTCATCCATGCCCACTGCCAGCTCCATGTCTGTGCTGTAGGATTCTGGTCTGGGGAACAAGAGAAGACAGAGGAATGCGCTTATTACTGGCAAGGAGGTAGAACCAGCGTCTGGGGCACGGTGCCAGCTCAGAGAACGGTACAGGGGTTGTCAAACAACCGCAACAGCAATTCCCCCTGCCTCACCTGGGCTCCCCCACTCTGACGTTGTAGCGATTCAAGAGGTACTCCTTGCCCCCAGTGGTGACACGGACAGCTCGCTGCTCCTGCCAAAACTGGTATTCCGCCTCCAGAAGATGGATGTTGCCTCTGGAAAAGGGACAGGACTGTTAGCTATGAATCACAGCTATTGGCAGCAAGTGACAGTGCCCAGCATGTGCCACAGTAGGGAGTGATCCTGAAGAGATGGGTGCTGTTTGGATGCACGGAATCAGACCACAGAGGCTTGAGAACTAGGCAAGCTTGGCGGTGGGCAGCCCCCTCCATCTCCTTCATTGCTACCATTTCATCCTTTCCCGGCATCTTTAAGCTTTTTACTTTTACTGTGTGCAATTCTGGTCGCCACACCTTAAAAAGGATATTATAGCTTTGGAAAAAGTGCAGAAAAGGGCAACTCGAATGATAAAGGGGTTGGAACACTTTCCCTATGAGGAAAGGTTAAAGCGCTTAGGGCTCTTTAGCTTGGAGAAACGACGACTGAGGGGTGACATGATTGAGGTTTATAAGATTATGCATGGGAAAGAGCAGGTAGAGAAAGAGGTACTTTTCTCCCTTTCTCACAATACAAGAACTCGTGGGCACTCCATGAAACTGCTGAGCGGTCGGGTTAGAACGGATAAGAGGAAGTACTTCTTGACCCAAAGAGTGATTAACACTTGGAATTCACTGCCACAGGAAGTGGTGGTGGCTACAAGCATGGATGGCTTCAAAAGGGAATTAGATAAGCCTATGGAGCAGAGGTCCATCAGTGGCTATCAGCCACAAGGTATAGATAGGGACTCTGGGGCAAGTGATGCTCTGTCATCTTGGTGCTTAGGGGGGTCAACAGTGGGAGGGCTTCTAATGTCCTGGCCCCACTGGTGGACCTCCTGATGGCACCTGGTATTTCTGGCCACTGTGTGATACAGAGTGTTGGACTGGATGGGCCTTTGGCCTGATCCAACATTGGCATCTCTTATGTTCTTAAGCACACTGCAGCAAGCCCCACAGGCTTGATAGGTTTCTCAGACTCTCCTGGCTTTTAGGTTTGCCAGCTTAGTTGGGAAATACCTGGAGATTTTGAGGGATGGAGCCCGGGGAGGGCAGGGCTTGGGGAGGGGAGGGACCTCAGTAGGGTATAACGCCACGGAGTCCATCCTCCAAAACAGCCATTTCCTCCAGGGGAACTGATCTTGGCCTTCAAATGTAACAGCAGATCTCTGGGTGCCTCCTGGAGACTGGCAACACTACTTGCCGTGCTGTGTTTACAGCTGCCTGAGGAAGGAGCAGCAACTGTGCCCAGGAGGAAGAGAGAAGTAGCCATGTTGGACACCTCAGGCGGCACCCTTTTTTTGAACTGCCTTTGCCAAGGCTGAGCTCCACTCATCTCAAGTTTCCTCACAGAATCATCTCAGGTAGACTCTGGGGAGTGTGGGATAGAATAGAGCCAGTTTGGTATAGTGGTTAGGAGCACAGACACTAATCTGGGAGAACCGGGTTTGATTCCCCACTCCTCCACTTGCAGCTGCTGGATGACCTTGGGCAAGCCGTAGCTCTGGCACAGCTGTTCTTGAAAAAGAGCAGTTTCTGTCAAGAGCACTCTCAGCCCCACCCACCTTACAGGGTGTCTGTTGAGGGGAGGGGAAAGGAAAGGAGATTGTAAACTGCTCTGAGACTCCTTCAGGTAGTGAAGGGTGGGTTGTAAATCCAATCTCTTCTTCTTTCAATATAAATACGTTGAGCATGCAGGCCCACCTCTGAGACCCTCACACTCACTCCATTTGCTAGAAAGGGCACCACTGCAGTGGTGGGAAATTCCTAGAGATTTGGGGGTGCACCCTGGGGAGGTGAGGGCTTGGGGAGGGTACAGTGCCATGGAATCCACCCTCTAAAACTGCCACTTTCTCCAGAGGAGCTGAGAGGGTTGCTAACCTCCAGGCAAGGCCTGGAGATCTCCTGCTATTACAATGGATCGCCAGATGACAGAGATCAGTTCCTCTGGAGAAAATGGTTGCTTTGAAGGGTGGGCTCTATGGCATTGTACCCCGCTGGAGACCCTCCCCTCCCCAAACCCCACTCTTCCCAGGCTCCACCCCCAAAATCTCCAGCTATTTCCCCATCCGGCGCTGACAGCCCTAGGAACTGATCTCTGTAGTCTGGAGACGAGTTGTAATTCCAGATCTCCAGGCCTCACCCAGGAGCTGGTAACTGTTTAAAGCCCCCCTCCCAAAATTGTTTGCCTTTTTGCAGAGAGAGGGAGAACCAAGTCTGTTACCTGAGAAAGGCTGTGTCATTGGTTTGCTTCAAGTAACTCTCTACCATGAGGGTAAGGAAGGGCGGCTGGCTCCGTCGCTCATAATAGATGCGGCCTCCATTGGGGATGTGCCCAAATCTGTAACCAAGAAGCAAAAGCTGCAGCAAAGGAGTGGAGGACACATTTTGTGGGTTACATGGGGGGGCACACGTCTGAACATGGCACAGTTTAGGCAGGGGTCGTTTCGTAGAAAAAGAGCTAGGGGGACTCATTAGCATAACTCATTAGCATATGCCACACCCCCTGACATCACCGGAAGTGTGTCATAAGGCCACACACCCCGCCCCCAACGGTCCCGGCCGCTGCCGTCGGCCTTGCAGCTCCACTGCCGGGTCCCATGAGGGGCCCGGCGGTGGACCTGCAAGGCCGGCGGGAGTGCAAGGAAGCCCCGCGGGGGCCCTCCCTGGCCCCAGGCAGGCAGGGGTGGGGAGAGGCAGGGAGGAAGCAACTTACCCTCCCTCTTCTCCTGCCTCCTCCTGGCTGAATGAGGGCCGGAAGCGGGGTGGCCGGAAGCAGGGGGCGGGGCTTCGTCACCCCCGTACCTCACCCGGGGGAACTGCGGTCCCCCGCGATCCCCCCGAAATGACCTCTGAGTTTAGGACAGGTCGTCCCCCAGTGCAGGTCCAAAAAACCTCTGCTTGGATATTTCCCTCTCCACGACACCAGGGAAAATGTAGCCCTCTGCCCTCCCCTTTCCCCAGATGTCTCTTACTTGTCCACAAGGTAAAGGAAGTTCTGGATCATGCCCCGGGCTGTGGCGACCATATCAGACAGCAACAGGCCCTCAATCACCCAGAAGGAATCCCTGTAGGAGGAAGAGGCTGGGCCTTAATCACTCACCATCTTGATGGAAACGTTTGTGGCATTTGAGAATCCCTGAGAAAAACAGCACCAGCAACAGACCCTTCCCACATGAAAACATGAGCGCACCCATGGCAAGAACAGCAGGGCTGTGGGCAGTCTGTTGACCAGTAACATGCTCTGTTGGATACTGGGAGGGCTCATGTAATCCAGGCCCAAATGTGCCACAAACGAACAACCGCATGCACACAAATGATTTCAGATAACAAGAGCGGCATGAGACACCTCATAAAACGCACATATATACGCTATATTGCATTGATATGGTTTACACTATTGGTCTTCAGTCCAGAACTGGGCTTGGGTCCTGTCTAAAATTTCTGTGGTTGGAAAGATTTCTGCCCATAGAACACAGTGTCCCCCACCTCCTTTTCCTGAAGCTTTTGGCGCTTTTTTGGATTAAGACGGATGTTCATTGGGAGATTAATAGCAGTCTGAATTGATTCATGCAGTTTCCTACAGGAGATTCTTGGATATGAAATTACACTGTGTCTTCTTTTCATTGTATCAGTGATATCTGATGGTGTTATATAGGGTGTTTGATAGATGTTTTTGTTTGGGTATTGATTCTGATACACTGATTATACAAACTATTACATAATATCTATCAGCACAACGCATGAACTATTCTTTGAAGTTAATTCTTTATTTAATTCGCATATACAATTAGTAGCCAGTCATCACAGGGATTTTTTGTGTGTGTGTTTCTGTAGTCTCTACACTGTGATCCTGTGTTTTCCTTTCCAGCCTCCAGGTGGTGGCTGGAGATCGGGGATTACAACAGGGATCAGGTCACCTGGAGAAAATGGCCCCTCTGATAGGTGGACTCTGTGGCATTACACCCTATGGAAGGCCCTCCCCTCCACAAGCCCCGCCCTCCTCAGGCTCCACCCCCAAAATCTCCAGGTATTTCCCAACCCAGAGCTGGCAACCCTAGGTGGGGTGGAGGTCTGCCACACAAGGGGTAAGCAAATCCCCCCTCTGTCCATCCACAGAAATTTTAGTCAGGTCCATCAGTGGCTATTAGCCACAAGGTATTGATAGGGGCTCTGGGGCAAGTGATGCTCTGTCATCATGGTGCTTGGGGGGGTCAACAGTGGGAGGGCTTCTAATGTCCTGGCCCCACTGCTGGACCTCCTGATGGCACTGGTATTTCTGGCCACTGTGTGACACAGAGTGTTGGACTGGATGGGCCTTTGGCCTGATTCAACATTGGCGTCTCTTATGTTCTTATGTTCTTATGCTTCAGCCCCAGAGCCCACTGAACATGGGACTCACAGGACATATGCAGAAGGCTTTCCCCCTCACCACTGAGCATATCTTCAGCCTCCTTCTCCTTCCCCCCCCCCCCTGTGCTTAGAATGAGGAAGAAGGGTTGTGCGGGATGGCATATCTCACAAATGAAATCCCCAGCACTTCCCTGTTTTGAAATGAAGCCCAGATTTACCTTCCCCGGCCAGAAAACAACCACCAAAAACAAACAAACAAAACACATGCATTCTTTCCCGTTTGAGATTCTGGTGGGTTATGTGCCAAACTGCACGATACCTTCATTTGCAATGCAGATGTCTGGTGCCCAGTACCACATCCCAATCTTCCTCATATTCACTCCTCCCACAAGAGGCAGGCTTAGGGCTGCAAGTCTCCAGGTGGGGACTGGAGAGCGCCTGGCATTCCGACTGACCTCCAGATGACAGAAATCAGCTCCCCTTGCAGAAATTTCAGCTTTAGGAGGTGGCCTTTGTGGCATGATACCCTTCTGAGGTCCTTTCTTTCCCCAAACCCCAAACCTCCAGGAATTACTCAACCTGGAGTTGGCAACCTGAGCTGATGCCAAGCCCCCTTTGGATACCTCCATTTTTCAAGAGGGTTGGGCCTTCCAGCAAGTCGAAGGGGGCTCAAAGGCCTGGGGCAACCAAAACAGCATCTGGCTTCCACCCCTTAGGAGGCTGAAAGGACAAAAGAAGCTGCCTTATACTGAATCAGACCTAAGGTTAGTATTGTCTACTCAGACTGGCAGCAGCTATCCAGGATTTTACACAGAGGTCTTTTATGACACCTACCTACCACCTGGGACTTTTAATTGGAGATGCTGGGGATTAGGGTTGCCAGACCATAAGTGGAGCGGGGGGGGGGGCTTTTGCCAGGCCTTACTCCCAGCCACTGATCAGCTGACTGGCGGGGGGGGGGAACTAGCTAGGCGAAAGGAGAAGGCCTAGGCCTCCTTGCTACCATTGCACAGGAAGTGATGTCATCATGCCAACGATGTCCAGGTGACGTTCTGGTATTTGGGCAAAAACTCTATGGTAGAAGCCAGTTTTACCATAGTTTTTGCCCAAACACCAGTGTGTTGCCCAGGTGTTGCTGGCATGATGACATCACTTCCTGTGCAACACCAGCAACAAGGCCTAGGGTGGCCTTTCTCTTTCTCCATTTAAGTCCCCCCCCATCCCCTGCTGGTTGCTGCAAGGGACTTAGTAACCCTATTGGGGATTGAACCTGGGACCTTCTGCTTGCCAAGCTGATGCTCTGTCACTGAGCCACAGCCCCTCCAATGAAGATTCTGGACATGCCACACACCCTTCCACCCTGCCCTGCCCCCGCAGCTATACTTGCTCCTTACCAGTAATAGTACTCAATGAATCGGCCCCCTGGCACTATCAGTGGGTTAGGCACATACATCAGGGAATAACGTTCGGGGCTGATTTTTACCTCCGCTGAAATCTGAAATGTAAAATAGTTTATTTACAAGAGGGTGACCCGCGACACTCACGGGGGGGGGGAGGGAGGAAGCAGCAGGAGTCGGGAATTCAGCTCTGCTCTCTCTCCCTTCCCCCCTCTAAGCTGTTAAGTCTTGTGAGCAAAGATTCTACTGTGTGAGCGTACTGGCATTAAAGTTGTGAGCGAGTGATTTGGCTACTGCATAAATCAGTTTGCTCTGGAGCCCCATCCTTACTGAGTGAAGACAAAAAGGTGTGAGCCAGAGGCTAAAAACTGTGAGCTCGCTCACACTCATTCAGCTTAGAGGGAACACTGGACTGGAGTCACTCTGTATATAATAGGCAGGCCCGTAGCTAACAGTCGTGGGGGTGGCGCCGCCGGGGGTCTCCAGAAGCGACCTCAGCAGGGCGGCTCCAGCCAGTGCGCGGGGGAGCTC